GTCTCGTGCATTAGAAGAAATTGAATTTGGTTTATTTTTTAATTGGATTTAATTGAGTTTAATTGAATTTACTTGAATTTGATTGAATTTAGTTGAGTTTAATTGAATTGAATTGAATTTGATTGAATATAATCGTGTTTAATTGAATTGAATTGAATTTGATTGAATTGAATTGAGTTTAATTGAATTAAATGGAATTTGATTGAATATAATCGTGTTTAATTGAATTGAATTGAATTTGATTGAATTGAATTGAGTTTAATTGAATTAAATGGAATTTGATTGAATATAATCGTGTTTAATTGAATTGAATTGAATTTGATTGAATTGAATTGAGTTTAATTGAATTAAATGGAATTTGATTGAATATAATCGTGTTTAATTGAATTGAATTGAATTTGATTGAATTGAATTGAGTTTAATTGAATTGAATGGAATTTGATTGAATATAATCGTGTTTTGATTGAATTGAATTGAGTTTAATTGAATTAAATGGAATTTGTTGAATTTGATTGAATTGAATTGAGTTTAATTGAATTAAATGGAATTTGATTGAATATAATCGTGTTTAATTGAATTTGATTGAATTTAATTGAGTTTAATTGAATTGAATTGAATTTGATTGAATTTAATCGAGTTTAATTGAATTGAATTGAATTTGATTGAATATAATCGAGTTTAATTGAATTGAATTTGATTGAATTTGATCGACTTTAATTGAATTGAATTTGATTGAATTTAATCGAGTTTAATTGAATTTTCTTTTTTTTCTGCTCGGTCAAATTTAACTGTTTCCGTTCAGATTTTGTTATGTTCGATCATGAGCGTTCGTATTTTCTATTCCACACGTAAATATATCGAATTCGCGAATTTTGAACGAGAAAATTGAAACATATCGTTCTCTGATTTCGAACAATTTAAAAGTATATTTTTCAGTATGAATCGATCCCGGTTTCAAAATGAGTTGCGAAAATTGTTACAAAAATCTGTCACTTCGTTCGTTGAATGTGCATCGTGTTCAAGCGACTATGGAGATCCGTAATGTATTTTTACGTACACAGACAGCCATTGCAAAGCTTTTCTCGAAGCCAAAATCATTCTTTTAACGATCTCTTTTTCCCGCAAAATATCATATTTCGTGCGAAATCATGGTACATTCGTTTATGCAGATCGTCTTATTTTTGTCGCGGTCTCGCGCGTTTCGAACGTTATTCCATGCTCTGTCTATTGCTTTTCAATGTTAAAATAGTTCAGACAATAATGAACAATTAGTTGTGTTTTCTCACTCGATGAAAATGGCGTAAGATTGTCCAAATAATATTTAACAGCTTCGAAATTCTGTTACTTCGAGACGTGTTTCGTAAACATTCGGGACGCAGCACGGTATTAATTTGATTCTGTATTTTGTCTGTTTTCTTTCTTCTTCTTCTTCTTCTTTTTTTAAAGCAATTTTAAGAGATATTTGCCGCGACGTTTGCGTAGATAAATAATTTATATCGATTCAGACAGCGTGGACGAATGCCCGAGAAACTTTGGCCGGAAACATTCGAAAACAAGGCCTAGACCGGTCTAAGCCAAACATTTGGTAAATTTGAAACGAGACCTTGGCGGATCTGGACCGGGTTTCAGTCGATTTGAAAAGAGGATCTAAAATTTAAATAGCAGTTTTATCAGTATTAGAATGCGGCCTTGATATGTTTGAAATAGATTCCTTTCCAGACGAAGCACATGTCCCCGAGTCGATCTGTACGGTATTTTAGATGATCCAAATCACAGTTGGGAAGTGACGGAGTGCTTTTTACTAAATATTGTTTATTTCACGTGGTTTCGTCAAGATATTATAATTTTTCTCACACGGTTGCATTTATATTCTGCACTTGTGTAAAAACGTTAACTAAAGATTTTAAGGCTGTATAGCGCACAGTAGTTTGAAAATGCAATTGGTAATTATTAAATAACGAAAAATAAATGCGATAATGTAAGTTTCATTGACTAACAATGCTTGGAACGTGCGACGAATTATTTTTACTGGCAAACAATTTTTATTATTACTATTACTATTATTACTACTACTAATACTAATACTATTACTATTTCTATTATTATTATTATTATTATTATTATTATTTCAATTTGAAGGAAGCGCAATTGACCCTTTAAGCCTTACACTATATCTGTGAGTTCTGTGTCCAATTGAATAAAATTTAATCGCGAAGAATAAGAAAGTAAAGAATCTTCGAGTTTGGTATCACATATATTGTCTATTGCGATTCTGGAAACTGAAACGACACAAGATTGTATTAATTTCCCAGTTAAATAACACGAATTTGTTCGTAATAAAATCAGGTTCGTCATTGTAGGCGCTGGTGAATTTTTTGTTGCATTCTATTTCGTTGAAAATTTTGACATTCCGAAAACGGTGAACGACAAGTGGAGCGTGGAAAATTTTGAATAAAAATTTTCGTTTTGGATCTTAGTGCCTGGATAGAGTAGGGCCGAGCGTAATTAATTTTTTTTTCTTGTTAAAACGAAAACATAAAAGAATATATCGGCATCGATCGACATTTCTCGTGACAGTCAGACAAATGATTGCAAGTCGAAGAAAGACAGGAACAAAATTTCTGTAAACAATGAAGCATTATAGTAACGGGAAAATGATTATATTAATGTATTAATTAGTAATATTAATGTCAAATTTGATGCTCGCACGAATTTATCGGTTGATCAATGATTTTTCTCCATTTCTGTATCAATAGCATTATTTCGATTTGAAAACAAAATTATGGTTGTCGGAAAAATGTTCTATCTTGTTCATGACAAGCTGTTTATTTACGACAAAACGGCAAGCATGATTTTTGCATTTGTTTCCAAATACCCGGGGCATTGTTCGGCAACGATCGTTTTCCATTTTTCATGTTCTGATTGTTTACGGATTACTGTCATTTAAATGATCAGTTGCTATATCTGGCAGGCGAATATTTTTCGGAGGAAAAGTTAATTGTTCTAAAAAAGAAAAGTTTACGCCCTAATAGGTGTAATTTCATAATAATTTTATATAATATTATCAGTTGCTATATCTGTCAGGCGAGTATTTTTCGAAGGAAAAGTTAATTGTTCTAAAAAAGAAAAGTTTACGCCCTAACAGGCGTAATTTCATAATAATTTTATATAATATTATCAGTTGCTATATATCTGTCAGGCGAGTATTTTTCGAAGGAAAAGTTAATTGTTCTAAAAAAGAAAAGTTTACGTCCTAATAGTTGCAATTCTTCTGAAGTATCTTTGGGTAATTCACATTCATTATCGAATAATATTAGTGTCGGATCTATTTAAATCATTGTTCGATTCAAATTCATTTTGTTCGACCTCTACAATTTTTAGAAACACGTCTAAAAGAATAGTAATTTTAATAGTTTAAACATCCAGGGGGGGGGGGGTTGTATGTGTCCAGATATCGTCGATTTCATAACAAAATTTGTGAATTCGTACGATGTATTTGTTAAACGGTAACTTCATTATTTATTTCAATTCTCGAAACGCTTCTAATTATAATTTTTCGGTATATTTCGGATTCAAACTTCGGACGGAAAATATATTGTGATCTGTGCAAAACTTACCGAAAAATAGATTCTAAAATGTTCAATGATTCAGTAAAGGGTTTCTCCGCAAGAAAGTTTTACCCCCTCCCCCTCTCCCATTTTATTGTTGCGGTAAAAATCCATTAATGTTGTAGAAATTTTATATTAACTATGTGTTTTCAGTAATAAATACATCGACCTATTTTCAAGATAATGATAAATAATCGTACGAAAAACTTTCTGACTCTTTTTGTGTTTATCAGTGTCCATGAATATATTACATTTGTCGCTGTGTTTATCATTGTAATTGCCCAAATATTCGATCGAATCAGAAACAACTGTAACAGAGACGCCGAAAAATTGGCAAATAAAAATTTCATTGTAATAACAACAAGAATGTTAGCAGCGTTAATTTTTGAAAGCGGTTAGTATTACAGCATTATGGATAATTATCTGTTCCGCTGATGATAGTACAAAGACGTTTTTAGATTGCAAAACATTTCTCCTGTTTTAGTATCTTCTAAGATATGCATTAATAACATATGAGTCCACAAAATTTGCAGATGACGATTTACCGAATACTTCGACTGGTTTAATTTGCATTGGGAAATGGAATTTTGAGGATTTCAGAAATAGCAAAAAGATTTCAGAATCAAATGAACGTCGACATTAATATATTCTAATATTTAATAATTTTTAATTCTAATATTTATATTCTCTAATATTTCCAAAGCTTCTCTAGCATTTGTTTTTGTTGTTTGGCAAGAAACGAAGGATACTTTAAGAAATTTCAAGCAATTTTCACGGTAACGGGGAAGGTAATGAACAAAATCGATCAATTCCGTCGCATACCTTTCTCGTTTTGTAAAACGCTCGTCGAAGTTCAAATTTATTCCCAAATAAAATTCGAATACTTCGACTCTCTCGAAACATCTTAAAAATATCTCGGATTATAAATTCGGCAAGAAAGCGAAATACACAGTCGTGTTTTGTACGAGATTATTCGTGAAAACGATTTTGTCGTCGGTTTTAACTAGACTCGATTTTCTAGGATCGTTAGCTTTCGAACGTAATTGGATATTTTGTTAACAGACATGAAACACGTGTTACGACGATTTTTATCGTTCAAAGAATTTGTTGCTATTTCAAAATATTCGCTGATATAATTAACGAGAACGTTCGTGCAAACTGAAGTCTGGAGATTCTGTTGAAAATCTGTGTGTTTTATCGTGTTTTACTTTCGTTTTACTATGAATTGACAATTCGAGGTAGAAAAATCTAAAATAAACAAATGAAATGTGAACGAAAACGTTCGACATTTTTAAACCGCGCCAACATGTGAACGAGAACTTTTCGTTTTCAACGAACCAACAATAAATTCTAATTGATTGAAAATTTTGATCACAGGTTGAGACGTACATTATACAAAATTAACATTAACAAAAATATCTGCGCATTCTATAATTTATCTCGGTGGTTTATTTCGTAAGAGCAGACGCTGTCGAAACGTGTATTCAATCGTTTATGGGTTTTCTTAATGGTTTAGGATTAATAACCTTGACGCAACCGTAGCAAATATGCTAACGACAGTTTTTGTTCATTCTGTTTCACACGTTTGTACATTTTAGTGGCAATCGAGAGGAAACAAGATTTCCGCCTTTCGAAGGAAGCTTTTACCAGAGTTTGCAACTTTGAAAATGTTTAAATACTTTGCTGTTCCTTGGATACTTGACATAATATATGTATATATATTTTTTAAGCAGAGGCACAACCGATTTTCCATAAAATTAGAATTTTTATCCGGAAACCTAGTTCTAGAAGCATCCGCGCATCAACAAATTATTGCTCTCTCGTTTTTTGGAAATCGAAACGTATTTGGACTGTTTCAAGTTCGCTGTTTTACGGTGGATAAAACACACAAATTGGAGGTTTCGGAAATGTAACTTCTGGAAATATTACTTTAATAACTATCCTTCCATTGTTCGGATTGAAATATTTTCCGTGATACTGATCAAATAAACGTAAACCGAATAATCAGAGTTAATACATTTCTCGAATGATTTTTTTGCGATCGCGGATATTTTTGCGAACTGTAGCAGTAAATTCTCTTATTAAATGTTATGCGATATTTCACCGTTCCAATTTTAAACATAACTCGCTATAGATATATAAATATATAAATCTACTATATTTATCTCTACTGCAGGAAACTTAATACAGAGAATAATTTGTTCGATTGTTTTCTCGATTGTAACATGCGATAATAATTGCGACAAGTAACAGCTAACGGTAACTTCCTTATTGCGAACAGTATGTTAATCATTCTTCGGCGACAATTTTCTCAACGTTACAATAAAACATTTAAACCCAATTTGATCGAGTGCAATGCTCGTGGATCATTCTGTGGATCGCTTCTGTCTGTAGATCAATGTCAAAATTCTATTTATATGCATTTTCTGCTGTTTTTATGGTTGATCGAAGCAGATGGAAATCGCGAATGATGGAATCGTTTCGCAATCGTGATCGAAAAATCTTGGACGAAAAAGTGCAATCAACGGCAATCGATAAGATATAAAATCAGTTTTGCAGAAGTTTTGCAGAAAGTTTTGCAGAAGCTTGCAGGAAGAATTGGGAAACTGTTACACGATCGCAATAAATCGCCGTTCATTGTTCTCCCCGACATAGCCACCGAGTAATTGTAAACAAAGTTTTCGTTCATTTATTCAACTAATTCAACCATTTAGACGGACAGTAAGTAAATTGGAAAATCTCTCTGTGTTAACGCAGAACCGCGTGATAGAAGAAACTATTTTCGTACGAAATTCGTGCTGTCTCATTCAACGACACCGAATTTTTCTTTTCTTTTTTAGTCCGAATTAGCTTCATAATATATTGTAAATTCGATTGACAAGGCGCGGACAATTTTGCGAATATTCATGTTCGTTATTGCTGACAGAATCGGTACAATCAATGGAGAAAATTTGTTCGGTCGCCTCGACTTTCTCGCCCGAAATTGTAAATTTTCTGTGCGCACACTAACCCAATCACTATCCCGACACTGAAGATAACGCGAACAATAATCCCAATTTAACAAATAAAACTAAACATTCCCACAATTTTCGGATGCAAAGAGAGAGAGAGAGAGAGAGAGAGAGAGAGAGAGAGTGTGAGTGTGTGTGTGAGAGAGATACACATATCTCTCGTTCAGAAATAAAATTTCAACAAACGTGTGCCACTGATTATAAAACCGTGGCTGATCCGTGCGATTCGCTTTTGTGCTTCGCTCTGAAGAGATCGAAGGACCGAGATCAGTTTTTACAGGTACGGTAGATTCATTTCGTGTCTAATATTTCAAAATCGGTGGACGCTCGGGATGAAAACCATGCGGATCACATGCGTTTAGAAATCGTTTAAATCCGCGGGGAGAGTGCTGGCGTGTAAGATTTACGGTGAAAATTGAACGGAGATTAAAGCTGTTTCATTGACGTCGCGTTATTCAAGATCTCCATCGAGAGACGGCTGTGCAAAAGTTCGGTCGAAATTCGTAGACGCGAAGAAGATCCGCGTTCGAATGAAAATTCCAAAGGTCCGTGCACGATTTCGCGCCACTTTTATAATCGATGGCACAACTTTCGGTCGGAACGAACGATCCTGTTCGATTTGTGATGCGCGAGAAACGCGATCAAAGCTCGAACGAAAGGGAAACCGGAAGAGAGAGAGAGAGAAAAAGAGAGAGAGAGGGAGAGAGTAAAATAAAAGAACGACAGCGTAGTAAAAATATAAAAGGAAACGGCCGAGAACGTGATATATTTTAGGATAGTCTATCGAAGCACCAAGACCTAAGTTGCCAGAAACGGGACTCACCCTTCGCGAAGAGATCCTCGACGAGAGACGGACGGCCCAAGGGCAAGGATCGTCCGCGTCGCTGTCCGCCGCGAGTTGCAAAACACTTCTGACTGTTCTGTCGTTGGTACGGGGCCCTTAAATAGTCGTTTTGACGGGTGCAGACGTTACGATGGCTCGTGAGAACATTTCTGAACACAATGCACCCCTCTTTCTTTTGAGCCGGTAGGGTCGAGGGGTCGAAGGTCACGCGAACGGAGGAGATCTTTACCTGTTTCCGGAGCCAGGCCGAAGGGGATGCACGGTTTATTCGGACAGAGAGCGCGGCCGGAGGGATGATTAAGAGGGGAGAAAGGTGGTTAACGGTCGTTTCTTTTTGTTGCCCCCTTAGAGGAAGGGTGCCGGTCCGGATTCGTGAGAAATTTGGCTGCGTGCGGGGAGAAAGTCGGTGGTGATATCTTCGAAATCCGAAACACCTTGCCGGCCCAACTGGAACAGCGAAAATGATTCGCATATTATATATATATTATATATATTATTATATAAATATAATAAATATATATTACATATATTATATATTATATTATTATATAATATTACATATATTATATATTATATTATTATATAATATTACATATATTATATATTATATTATTATATAATAATATATAATTATATATTATATTATTATATATATTACATATATTATATATTATATTATATATATTCGCCGGTTTTCCGATGGACCATTTTCGATCTCGCGACCGATATTCGAAATTGTACTTTGCAAACGATACAGAATTTGATAACAATTAAACCAGCACACAATGAACGACAAGTATTTACTTGAGCTCTCGCTTACGTTTGTCATTGTTACTGCCAAGTTTGCCCCCACGATATGCGAGCAATATAATGCGGTCGGTGATTGGCTATCGAACGTGATTGATTCGCGAACGATTTTCTCTCGTCTCCTTATTTACAAAAACGCAACGACTTATGTGTTTCGATAACGATTACGACAAAGCGTAGTCGATTCAATTGTTCGCAAACAATGTCGCATACGTTATCAACGACTATCTCGCCGTGTTCTAAATATATAAATCGGTTGTCCTAAGATCTACTCCATCGCGTGAAAACATTAATATAAATATGTTCTCTTGATGTATGATTTGATTCTGTATTATTCTAACAATAGCCGCCGCGGGCTGTCGATTTTCACCTATCTGTAGCTCTTGAAAATTTGTTTTAAACGCGAGAGAATAATGTTGTTCGATATCTTGTTTCGATGATTTTACTACGACAATTAGAATTTCGTATACATATCCGAAAATACCATTAAAATGTTGTATGAGAATATCGTACACCATGTTTGTTTCTTATCAGATTCTTTTTTCATTATCCTATACTGCAATAAGGAACGATTTTAACGATGAAGTCGTATACGATTCGACATTGTTTTATTGCGATCGAGGTTCAATGGCCGATCAATTTTTCAAGAAACGATGAATCGACCACTCGGTTCGTGTGATTTGACACCATTGGACATTTTTCTTCGGGGTCATTCGAAAAGCAACGTTTGTGCCAACGAACCAGCAACAATTCGTGGCCTAACGAACAACATTAGAAATGAAATTGGCGAATTGAACGAGCAAATATGCCAAAATGTCATCGAAAATTTTGATATTCGAATCGATATCTGTGAACGTGACAGATAGCATATTTCACTCATAATTGTCATAGATGATACTAGATAATTAAATAAAGAATCCAATAAAATTCAAAATGGTTTGTGTGCACGAAATTTGAATAAGGACAGTAACAATTGCTTAGTACAGTGGCATCATTGGCACGAAAAATATCGTCCGTAATTCAGTGAATGTTAATATTAAGTGTGTCTTAATATTTTATTTTACAAACTATTGAAAACAATTCAATTAAAAAACAAATAGCAAAAAAAAATCAATAGATCCGTTAATGTAAATCATAATTCTTTTAAAACTTGTTAAAACTGTTGTTGAAAAATTTTGCATTTGCGATACTGGCTTTTTATTTTTTACTGTCCGTCTAAATTTTCAACTTACTCTTAACGTTAGCAACAGAGTGCCAAAGTTCCTGTTATTAAAAAAAAAAATAGTAATGTCTCCATTCAAACTTCGTTCACTGTAGTTCATGCTACAAATACTCAAACCAGTCATCTTGTTTTTCTGTCTCCTTCGTCTATTATTCGAGTCGTTGAAAGCGGTTCTTCGGGGAGAAGAAGATCCAGTTTAACTCGCAACCGTTGATCTTTTCTTCTTCTTACCTTAACCTGTTTCTCGTCCGTAATATTTCTACAAAGTATGTTGTTATTGTGATGTCGATTAAATTAAACAAAACTTCGTGAGAATGCCTCGTGATGTGTTCGCGCGAACACTTAACCACCTTTTTCCGCCTATCTTGCCCTGAAAAACATTTAGAAATTGCGTTTTATCTACCATATGTGCATTATCATTATTATTATCATTATTATTATTATGATTAATATTATATTTACTGATTATTAGCGAATATCGAAAGTTTCATGTCCATCGAGCATTCAACGTCGAAAGTGAAGTTCCGTCTGGCTCAATGATGTTTATCGTTAATGCAATTACGTTCTCCCCGCATTCGATGAGGTAGATACTTGTATTTTTTTCCTTCAACAAAAAGTACACAAAAGAAAATTAATTTTTTAATAGTCTCCACAAACCATCGACTTAACCAATAATTATTAAAATACCGCCTACAGGTGACAGAGTCTTTCTTCAAAATCGAACCTTCAGCAGAAAGGTTGAAAATTAAAAACACCATATTCATGTTTTCGAAATAATATACAGCATATAGGGTGTCCCAGTATCGGTGGTACGACCGAGACGGGAGTGATTTTCAATGAAAAACAAATCGAAGACAAGGATCGTTATTTTATTCGAGGCTTCGTTACCGATAAAATCGACTTGGAAGCTTATCTAAACCATAAACAAGTATGGTTTAGATTGTTTAGATGGATTGGATCTCGATAGAAGTCATGCGCCATTTTTATAAACAGCACTAATATCATTAATATCAACATGATGCGTTGTGTTGCTCATTTCTGTCTACGGATTTAGAGCGGATTCGAATAAAAATAAGACGTAATTTGGTTACTAACTTACCTTATTAATGCAAAGATTGTTGACAATGTTGTATATACAAAGTCGATTTTCACGGGGTACGAACCATTCTGTGAATCGGTGTAAATAAATATCAATAAAGCAAATAATGGTAACTCTTTTGACTAAATCAGTTTAGACAACTGCTTTATCGACAGTAGGTGCAATCCAAATTATTGCTCCACTTACCAACAGATGAACTGCATCATAGACTTACCTTACTTAATGTACCGCATTATCGACGTATCTATAGAAAAGAGTGTGCGCCATATTTGTATTGTTCTCCATTTCTACATTTGGATAGTAGTAATCTGGCTTAAAAAGATCTGTAATTCGTAATCACAGCTTCCAACGCTGCCTGGGTTTCAAATTACGCTTTTGCAGTATTGCTGGCACATGGACCTCATCGTAAGTTGTGAGTTAAATAGATGAATAGTAGCAATGAATTTCAGCTGGGAGTGTGGCGGCTCCTGTAATCCGGCTACTCGGAGGCTGGTTGTGTTGGAGGGTCTGAGGTCGGGGGTTCCTGTTGGTACGGGATTCACGTTGACAGGGCGTCCGCACTAAGCTCGCCATCAATATGGGCACCTTTGAGGAGTCGAGGGTGGCCAGGTTGGCTAAGGAGAGGCGAACCGGGCCAGAGGGGAAACCCAGCAGCCAAAAGTCTCCGTGGCGGGCAGTAGTGGGATCGCGCCCCGGAGTGGGACCGCATCGGCAGCTTGGTCAATATGACTCGACACATAACTTTTTACACTTTTTTTCAGTATTGAAACATTAATCTTTATATATACAATGCTATGCTATCAGATTATATTATATTTTTAAGTTTATATATATTATTTGAACTCCTTCGTACGTGGGAGATCAACGGGGCCTGAATGGTGTTTGAAAGTTTTCTTTCCTTATTGTTTGGGTAAAACCGTGAGTCACGAATAAAAAGATTACGTTTCCAGATTTGTTTTCGTTGAAATAATTTTAGTCTCTCCGTAAAAATGATTGACTTTAAATTTTATTTCTCAGAAATGATAGCAAATAAGTAAGTTAATAAAACATGTTTTATTGAAAGTAAATTTTAAATGAGGAAACAGTATGTTTATATGTGAAACCTTAATAGACTAATATCAAATTAAAAATTATATATCTACTTCACTTTTACGTTACTTCACTTTCCCGTTTACGTTACTTCACTTTCCCGTTTACGTTACTTATTCAAAATGCTTTATTTTTATTATACACGTTATACGATTATATATTCCGACCGACTATTAAA